GTAAAGTTCAGTTGTTTGTGAGCCTATGATAACTGTACTGTTGTGTGGGCTTATAAAATTCTTTCTGTAGTAGTTGATCTGTCCTTTGAAGAGACAGTGGAATATTCTTGTATCAATTTCAATTAAGGTATGTTAAAGATGATAAAGTAATCTTAGTTAATTCTCTGTTACCATTGTTTGCTATTACTCTGGTTTTTCTGTATCACTGGTGGCCTAGAGATGTATTTTTTTCTTTTGTGTCAGCTGGGTTTTGTCTCCTCATAACTAGTCTTTAATATACAGACGGCAGTGACACCCAGAATTGCAATGTTTAAGCTCCAATTTTAAGTTTTATGTATGATTTTAATGTTTGTGGCTTTCTTCAAAAGTATTATGCTTGATCTAGTCCTACCTGCCAAGGATGATTTCCAGGTCGTGAAGGTATAATAGTTTCTCAAGGTAAGCAATCACAACTACCTTCTGCTTAATTAAGTCAACATTTCCTGCTGTACCCAAATGTTGCTCACATGTTCATTATTGTCAGTGCTTCTTTCAGAGAAAGATTTAGTTATATTTTTCACTTGCCTTACTTTAGGTAGTACATCCTTGTCCATGTTGTTCTCTCTCTTGGGATTCTTCAGGAGTAATTCTACTTTTGTGTTGCCAAAGGTAAGTTTGTGTTCTTATCTGTTGTCTTGTTTTGCTTTTTTCTGCTTCAAGTTCGGAAAAGAGTTATTTCTTCTTTTCTGTTGCCTTTATTAACCAAGAGCAATTTACCTTATTTCATTTTCCATATACACAGTAGCATTCATGATGAAGAACTTTCAGGGATATTTACTTGACTAGGCATACCGTATATTTACACTTTGTTCATTTACCAAAAGTCAATTAAATGCAATCAGTAAAGTGTTCAAAGGAAGAAGGCAAGAAAGGTGGAAGGCAAAGCTAGAAAAAAATCAGGATTTTTAGCTCAGTGTGGGCAGGTCTTATCTAAAGATGCACTAGTTTAATTTAAAAACTGTTTTTTTAAACAAACTTGCTGGTCTAAACTGCTCTATGGATTCTTATTGTAAAGATTTGCTTGATTTTGATTGAGTATAAACTAAATCAATTTGTGTTAAACAGAAATAAGCCTAAATTAAACCAAAGTAAAAGTGCCTGCAGCTTTTGGATGGACTTCACTAAATTAGATTAAAATTGTGCACTGGGTGCAACCAGTGTAAATGTCATTTGTTGGCTGAAACCTAAATTACACAAATTATCTGGAGGAGGGTGGGAACTAGAAGAACAAACAGTAGTGCACAGTAAAATGATCAAAATGATTTGTTGAAAAAGGCAAAATAATACTGCAGAAGCCTAAGAGAGTGTCTGAAGCCAGGGTTCTAAATAACATAATAGGATGATAGTGAACAATAGAGTGAAAGGAATGACAACAGATGGGGATTGCAGGCAAGAGGAGCTGTGTAGCTGGAAAGCATCAAAAAAGCAAGTAGATACTTGTGACAGAAAAGGCAATGTATGTTTTTAATATATGTGCACATCAAATTATCGTGACAAATGATAATGAAAGGATAGATTTCAGCATTCACTAAGGTGGTGCTACAGCTGAACTGTGCAATTGTTCCCACCTCTGCAGTTTACAATGAGACTGAAACCTAAAGGTAACAAATGTTAAGTTTCATGTAAAACAAGTAATTAAAATTGGACTAAAAAAACCTAGTATTTGAAGAAACAGGGAAAAAAGTCAACCAGCTTTTCAGAGAGTATGCTACCTGTAGTACTGAGCTGAGGACTGGTTGAGAAATAGGACATACTTGTTAACACAGCTTTTTCTGCAGACTGGAGACAAAGGTAGGAATCAAGTATATCAGAATGCCTGCACAGTGTGATGGATTCTTTAGTGCTCCTGTCTTTCAATCTGAGGTGGAATTAAAGCTGTAAATAGACAGAAAGGGAACTTTGGAAAACACTTTGATAGTGTTAGTCTGTTCTTAAAAAGTGTGATGAGATTTTAGGGGCCACTGCACTAGGTGTTCCTCCAAATTTAGAGTGAGGGGTGTCAGTGCTGGAAGTGAGATGCCCACATAAGAATACAAGAAAACAGTTTTCAGCAGATATTAGATTAGACTGGTTGCAGATGTATACAAATCAGGAGGATAAGAAGCATCCAAGAAGGGAGCAGTGGGATGACTGAACTAAGACTTCATCTGTAATAAAAAGGATTGCCAGTTATGTGTACATACCCTGCTAAAAGAGGTGCAGATTCCCTAAAAATTACTTTGCACAGCTGCACTTGAGGACTTTTTGTGCACATAGCGGGGAGTCTGACTGTTCTGTTCTGTTGTTTGGGTTCTTTACTCTAAGAAAGAGGAAAAAAACACACACAAAAAACCCCACAAAAACCCTAACCAACCAAACAAAAAAAAGACCACCCAAAAACAAAGCAGAAGAAATTTAAAGCATAGACTAGACCTGAAATTGTAACAAGAAGACCTTGAAACTGAATTAAGGAGGACAAAACTAAAAGAAATGATTTTAAGTGAAACCTGTCAGTGTGTTATCCATCTAGAAAGGAATGTTATGCCTTGCACTTAGCTTGCATCCTTTGTTCTGTTAAGTAGTGGAATAATCTCTTTGTGGCAGTCTTATCTAGGTCTGCCTATTTAATCACATTAATAAATGGCAAGTATCATGCTCATAATTGAAGACTCTGATCCTCAAGAGTAATATTTTATTCCCTCTGATAGTGTTGCTTTCCCCTCAGCACATCCCCTCCCTTCTGCATTGTCTCTCGCTCTTGTGCTGTCTCTCTGATCTGTGCACAAGTCTGTATAAAGGTAGATGTTACCTTCCAAAGCACCTGTGCTGTTGGCAGCTGTGAGAAACAGCTCGAGCTACTTTTTTTTTTCTTATTTTCTTGACTTTTTATGTATTCCTTCTCCCACCTGCAAAGTCTAGGAAAACCAATGAGGAAAGATACTAAAATAGGAATAAACCAGGTATGTAACTGAGAAAAGGGAGGAGGCCATGGCAAGGCAGCAGATTTTGTGCTCAAACATAACTACTGCATTCCCCAAAGGAAAAGACAATTATTTTTTTTCCAAGCTTTTATTCCATCTTCCTCCTGTATTTTACTAATATGTTTTTCAGATGCTTTAAGTGGAAGCCTTTGGTAATCATGCACACATGCGCACAGAGCCAATCCCTTAAGTGGGTTGATGCTTCAGAGTATGAGTGAAGTGGGGGAAAATTAGCAACTTCATAGTTGCTCCATATGAAATTTTGAAATTGAGATATTTCTTTTCTTCTTCATGCACTTGAAATATTTGTTAATAGCAACTCACAAAACAGTTTGCCTCGACACCAGGAAGTCATCTTTCTTTCCATATGCCATTGTCTTTACAGCTGTACTCTGCTACAGCCATTGTTGTGTTTTTGCTTGCTAAGTAAATTGTTTTAATCTCTTGCTATTTATTAATAGTAATTTTTTTTTCTCCAAAACCAAAGCAGACATAGGGCAGGGAGGGTTTGCATGATGACTACTGTGGCCCTACAAACTTCCAAGTACACACTGGTCTGAGAGAATGGTTTTTTTCCTTGGAGAACAGTTTATTTAGCACAGCTTAATAGGTTTTACACTTCAGACTCTGTGGCATATCTGAAATGGACATCCCTTAGAAAGATGAAAAATGGACTATGTCTAATAAATGCCAAAGAGACCTATTTTTGCTTCTCACGAGTGCACATCAGAAGGAAACTATTATCCTGTAGCGATGTAAACCTATCAGTGTAGACAAAATAGTAATTTGTATCATTTCCTGTACTACAGCAAATGCAAGGACAGACTTTCGTATCAATTGTCAAATGAATTAGGGACATTGAAAACCCTACCTTAGATTAGAAAAGAAAGGTAATAAATTGCCAGAAGAACAAAATGCATCCAATTTCACAGACATAGCGAGCAACAATGGTACCTATTTAATTTCATATTGTCCATGCCTGAAATAAGGAATGGCACCAGGGCATGGCTTTAGTTTAATTTCAGTTTGGTGGACTCTTGCACTATTGCACTCAGATGTGTTTCATTTTTTGTGCTTACTCCTATAAAGTTGTCCTTCAGAGACTTTTGGGAACCATAAATAAATGAAGGCTTCATTAACTGCAACCATTTTACCTTTTTTTCCAAGGAAACAGGACAAAACCTGTCAGCAGTTTTGAGGTACACACCACCACCACCTGCTGAAACCAGTGTAGTCCCTTCTGCCAGGCTGCATTTCCTAGTGTTCACATTCTTCCATATTAACCCAATCAAGACTCTCAAAATAATCTCCTTTGACCAGTCAAATATTTTCCTTACCAAGAATCTAACTGGGTTTGGAGGCAGGAGGAAAAAAGGAGACTTAACAGATTCTTCAGTTCCACAAGATCTGCATTCTTGCTTTTAAGTTAATCACAATGTGCCATTGTGGCCTTACATGAAACAATGCCCATGTGTGTTACTGTTCTGCCCAGCTTATCCCCCAGGGATCAAAGCAGCCCTGCTTTAGTGCCTCAGTGTCACCACGTGAGCAGAGTCTCGCTCTGCCTGAAGTGATTTAACATTTTACTTTAGTTCTTTCACAAAGACCTCTGCATTGGCAGTGCTACCTGACTCCATACCTTAGACACAATACATAATTGCCTCTTCTTGGTGAAAAGTGAGTAAAATTGTAAGGTACCTAATTTCCCTTTTTTGAAGTGACCTAGAAGCCAAAGCTTCGTTTGCTTGCAAAATGAGCATAGCTTTGTCTAAGCCTAAAGGTTTCTGTTGTCCAACTCAAATTTTCCTTTATTCCTTACACAGTCAAAGCTGTAGTGTGGATGTAGCTGCAACTGTGTGAAAAACTTTGCTATAAAGTAAAAAAAAAATTACCATATCAATTTCTCAATTAGCTGTGACTATGTTAGAGTAGGAAAACCTATGCCAGCAGGGGTGCTTTTTCATAAGTAAAATTGCATCTACACTGACAGGCACTGGACAGATGAAGGAAGCAGGTAAGCTGGTAGTTTTCACTGTGCTAATTAATTTCAGAATTCAAACATATATATCTAGTGAAGGCATTTGACTGCATGGCTTGGAAGCTGAGCCTAGGTTTACAAATTCTTAGGCAACAGATTAGCAGATACTGGCCTCAAGCAACCAATTAACTCAAAAATATTTAGGTATACAGATCATGACTTTAGAAATATCTATTTTATAGTTATCTCCTTTAAGATATTTCAGTATGCTGATATTTATTCCACTTTCATTTTGTATAGATTTATGTGAGGGTAAAATGGGCAATTTCTATACCAAGGTACATGAAAATGGATTGGTTTAAAACCAATAGATTCATTTGAAATTGTAGTAAATATGCAACAATATTGTGCAAGAGAAAATGAGATAAAATGAGGACAGAAGCACTTGAATACTCTAATTTTGAAATCACATTTTTGTGGTCTCCCCCACTCTACAAAATCCAGCCAAAAGCAGAGATTTATTTTTTTTAATCTATGGAAAATTAATAGAATATGAGATAAAATAGTCTGAGAGAAGGGATTTAGAGATAAATCACTAAGACTAATAGAGAACATGACTTTTTTTTTCAGTAGAAGACACAAGGGCTCCTTCACTGCACAGGGAAATGAGAGCTTGGACTGCAGTGACAAATCCAAGGGTGAAAACAAAGACTGGGGATTTGGGCCATTCACCTGGGACAGAGGAAAATGTTTGGCTCTAGATCTCCTGAATCTCAACAACACTATTTTCTAGATTCTGCAGTCACCTTCCTTCTCCAGTGAATATTTAGCTATTTAAAGGAGAACAATTTAAGGGGAAAATTAATCTCCCTATAACCTTTAATCTGAGGAATTATATTTTGAGTTTCTGCAGCCGAGTCTGGAGAAGTTTGAAATCCTAAAAATGTGTATTGGGGAAGGAAGAAGTTCCTTGTATGTGCCTTTGTACAGAGCTTCACAATTCACACCGTCTGTCTTGACCGTCCCCCAGAGGTTTCTCAATAGACAACGTGAGTCTGTCATGTGAGACTTGTCTTTACTTATATAACTTTCAAAATAGATTAAATTAAGGGAAGGTTGAGGCCAGCATCCTTAAAAGATGGCTCACCATGTGACAAATTTCAAATATTATTTTCTCATGCTATGTAAATAGTAACTATGCTTCTGGTAATTTGCAGTCCAGATTAATTTTGACAATACATACTTACTAAATAGTTCATTTTTTGCTAATTTTCACTTAAATATTTTGGTTGTTTTATTTGTTTAAAAATTTCCTATGACTTTTTACCTGAAGCCTTGTCTGGTTGCTGCTGTTTAGATTTGGTTTTGCTCTTCCTTTCCTCTTCTCTCTTTTTTCATGAAGAAATGCCAACAGAATAAGCAATGTGGCAGTGAATTGCTTTAACACTTGCACCTCCAAATAACATCCAGAATGGAATGTGTCCATGGTAACCAGGATGCACTTACAACACTTTCCATTCCTCATCTTTTTAATCTATGCAAATAATATAGGTACTACAAAGTCTATGCATTATTTTTATTTGAAATAACCACATGCTAAGAAATTATCAAGGTAATTGCAGATTGTCCCGGGTATTTGTACATAAGGAAGTTTTTTAATGCAATTGACAGTTTGTTCCACTGTAAATCAAAGAATAATGTTTAGAAAAATCACAGTGGTGTTCGACAAAATTACTTGAATATTTTACTTTTCCTGTGCCTCTGCATGTTGGCCTGATCTTTCCATTTTGGCAGAGAGTTCTACTGCAGTGTGCTTCCTGGTATAACAATTAAAAGGAGGTAAGATTATGGAAATATGTATTGCTGTAGTTTTTTTTAAATTAGTATTAAAATGCTTTGGAATTTATACTTCCACACAATAATGCAAGAAAGTAAATTTTCATAGCCAGGTTAAAACATCTGTTGTAATGCACAGGGGTATTTAATTTGTAGAGTATTGACTTAGTGTTTCATTTTAGAGTTTGTTGGATTGTATAAAGATAAAAATCTCACTCAAGAGTCTATAGACACATATGCCCACTCTAGTGTTTGGATTAAAGACGTTCTTGTACACTCACATATGCTTAAAGTTCCATTACAGATAAATACACTCACACACACAAAATACTAAACAAAAAATACATGGAATACTTGCTGTGAAAAGTTTGTCTTGCTTACACCAGTGCAGAATTTGAGTATCTGCTATCTGTATACACTTTGTTCTGTTGTACTGTATATCCCATACTGAAAAGTATTGATTAATGTATTTAATTTACACATTGTAATCTGTGGTGCAACATGTTTCTGCTTTTTTAAGAATTAGACTTGTGTGTAGTTCATTTTCTGTACAACCTTATAGATTTAATCTGTAGAATATTGTTCAAAAGTTAGAAAGCAATAGCTGTTAATCATTTTTGGCAAGTGGTTTTGGGGGCAGGTAGAACAATTTTCTTTTTCAGTAACACTTGGCATTTTCATGCTGAGAAATGAGGGTTTTTGGTTTGGGTGTTTTGTTGTTTTTTTTTTTAATAGATGTCACTTCCAACAGTAACATGAAAAAGCCCAGAGAAAGTGTATTAACCATGTTCCTTTTCTCCTTTAACAATGGGGTTTTTCCCTATAGGATACTGTATTCCTGCATACCATGTTGAAGGGTGTGCAAGCTGAGGAACATGTTACAAGGATGTCTTTTCTTTCTCTATTTGCATATCAGTTTTGTTCTGACCTTACTCTCACCTCGTGTTTTCCACAAATAAGAATGGCAGTAGCCCTACATGCTGATTCTCCCTACACTGCCAGAGATAAAAAGAGCTTTTGGAAGTACAGTACAGCATTCAGTGTCCTATTATCCCCGTGGTGGGCTGCAAACATACCAGTTCTAAAGCCTTCCCAGGCACTAAAATCGTCTCTGAAACAGAATGACAAGGGCTTTACAATCACTTCTGCATTGAATCCTCATGTTACCACTAGTATATGAAACGATGTTATTTTAGCAACATGGTAATCTATATTGTGAATGTACATTGCAGAACTGTTAATTCTGCCAGGATCAAATGTTTCAGTGGTGTGGTTTACTTTTCGTACATTAAATTCTAAAATGCAGATTGGATGAATATTTTTTGCCTTCAAAGAGGCAACTGTTTCACTGCAAAGGAATAAAGATTGTGTGTGTATTGTAAAATAGGATGAACTTACGTAACTGAGTAGGATGTTTTTTTCATTTATTCCCATAATAAGGGTACAGAGTATTGCAGATATGTCTGAGCTGTAATTGAAGCTATTCTGTATGTATGCAATCAGAAATATGATTTAGCATTCTGATTACCCCCTATAATGATGTATTAGCCACAATAGCCATCAAAATGATAAATTTTAGCTGTCTGTATTTGACATTCAAATGTAGATGTTAAGCCTTTATTCAAACTTGTTTACTGTTGCTATAGCTAAGAGATTAACAAAGTAAAAGAAAGACTTGAAAAATACAGAAATGACTGGTGTCTTAGCAGATCATCTGGAATCTGAGCTTTAATTTGAAAATTAGTGATGAAAGTGAATGCAACTCATTGGGAGTTACAAATACTTAATTCTCAACTTTAAAATCTACATTTTATCACTGAAATACCAGAGAGATCTAAAGTTAAATTTGATGTTGAGAGATGTAAACACTGTTGTCAGATCTGATTTGTAATGATAAATTTAACTCTGTTCTTCGGTCAGTATATGTGAGTATTGACTGTTAACTCAAGGCTTGCTTTCAGTTTTCCTTTTCAACATGCCAGTAGAAAAAATAAAGCTCTGTGGAGTTTGTTTTTATATACACATATAAAACACATATGTGTTTATATAAAACATATATGTGTGTGTGTTCACCTCACTAGTATTCTCATTTGTCAGTTGTATCACTCGTATCAGGAATCCACCTATAGATACGACAGTGTAAACCCCTCACTTTTCTCAATGAACTGGAAGGAAATAAACCATATTAATATTAGTAAGACTAGAATATATGTTCTTTTAACCTTGCCCACAATAGCAAGTGAATCTTACTTGTGGCTTGGAGTGTGATCTTTACTAACATGAAGGGAGAAACGTGATTATGACTTTCCTCTCCTGTAGACCCAGCTGTGACAGCAACAAAAAGAAAGTCAATATTAAAAGCTGACACGCTGTTTAAGCACACAGGTAATGTTTTAAGAGAACTCTGGGAAAATTACTGATAGTCAGGGCCACTTATTCTCCAGCATTTCATAGCTACCTAATTTACTATTCATAGTAATTTTTTGTCTCAGTTGCATGCTTTGTAATGCAGATTTTCTTTTTCTGTCTCTGAAAATGTGAGTTGAACATGTACTTCTGGAGTGCCTTTTCCAGAGTTTTCAGACACTCTTAAGTGCTGAGCCTTTGAACTGTCCTATTAATTTTGATTTTAACAAAACGTTAAAATCACAGTGTAACTTCCAACACTGCCACTTTTGAATGCCTGAGCAGTTGAATGGGTATTTCTACTTATCAGGCATTAAATTATGTGGTTAAATTGTGTTTCTATGACTAAATGAAAAACAAAACCAGAATGTTTATAGTTTTGCCAGTTGAGATGTCTTTAAATGTGTGTTTATTTCTACAAACAATTTGCATGCAGGGGTTGGGAATGTTTTCTTTGTATGTAAAAACATTTCACACTTGTTCTAGGTGCATTCTGGGATGTTTATTGTCCTTTGAAGCATGTTTTAGGGCTGCTGGTAAAGTAACCATGGTCTGATCTCTTACTTTGTTTTGGGACTGTAGTAATATTTCCACAATCTGACACCTGAATCTGAGTATTTATCTCATGGTACTTGATACTCATTTCTTCTGCTTTTTTTCTTTTTCTTCTTCCACAGTTGTGGTCACTTAGGAGTGAATTTCATCAATTAAGACCTGGAGAAATTAAAGAATCCCAGGAGGATTTTTTGATGATTCATCTCTTCATAGGAGATGATAATAAAAATTACAAATTTGTGGTGGCATATAATGGAATAACATAGCAATATTGGTCTGTAATAACTTCCTGAAAGATGTGATTGCTTTGGCTAATAGACTTTTTTCCTATGAATTTATTAATATAAATTAATGTATGAATACAGGAAAAAACAAAAAGCTGTGACAGTAAACCTAAATATATTATAAAACCCAGCAACACTGATAGTTTCATTATAAGACAATGACAGAGATTCTAGCAACAAAAATAGGCCAGGAAGCAATATTTTTATGGCTAATAACTCATAATGCTCTGTGGCAGCCCATTTGTTTTTATGGCCACCTGGATTCCCAATCTGATTTAACACAAGTAACCACAAATGCTGCAGGTAATTGGGACTATGCAAGTGCAACATGACTTCAGGAGCTGCAGCCAGAAAGACATCACTAAATAAACCCCAAAGGTAGACTGGCCACTGAGAACATCTGAAATAATGATGCATTTCCCCAAAATTCTGTGGAACTGTGTGTCCCAAGTAGTTATTGCTTTGCGTCTTCCTATAATCTTCGTTCTCAGTAATGGATTAACTTTCAGAGATGGTCATGTCACAAGATATGGTGGATCCTGATCATGGCTCACAGAGGAACATATCCTGAAAATACTAAACCAAAGACACATTAATTCACTAACTGGAGGGAATAGATGAGGTGAGCTATGACCTAGTCTGGAAATGGAGAAGTTCATAACTGCACCTGCAGGGACTGCAGTTGAGATCTGAGGCTTTTGTAGCCCAAGAGACCTGACAGGACACCTTGGATTGGGGAGATTTTATTCTTTTTTAAATAAACTGCTCTTGTATTCTGTTTGTGTACAAATATTGAAAAAAATTAGTTACAGATGTGACTTCATATTTATCCTATTTTTATTATGAACTTGAAAGGTGTCATTTTCAAATGAAGTCCTGTTTTTCTCATCAACAGTTTTCGGTAGACATCATCTTATTGAATCATCACCTTATCTGAGTAAGTTGCCCAGGGAGGTGCTGGAGTCACTGTCTCTGGAAGTGTTCAAGAGGTGTCTGGATGTGACAGGGGTGGTTATGGTGGTGCTGGGTTGATGGTTGGACTACATGATCTTGAGGGTCTCTTCCAGCCTTGATGGTTCTAGGATTCCATGGTTATTTACTCCTGGGTGGAGGAGGTCTGCTTTCCCAAGAAGTATATGAATCTTGGGTAAGTGGTATGGTGGTAGGGAAGAGGGTGACATTATATATCTCTTTTCAAGAATAAACTTGACTGTATCTTCATTTATGATCTCGGATAAGACCAACATGTTCCCTATGCTTTGCTTATTAAAATCTAACACTTCCTACGGCACAATCCAGAGATTTTTAGCCCTGGTGATTTAGCGTGGTCTGCACTTCTATGTTTAGGTTTGTGTTTGTTCGGTTTGTGTTTCTCATTCCCTCTGTAACTTTTGCAACTGATCGATATCAAGTGATTTGATGGAAACAGTGACACTTCCTTAGGCCGTTGGGTGGGAGGCAAGTGAGCACTGTTGGTGTTCCAGGGACGGACACACCACACCTTCTAACCTCAAGTGACTGGATATGTGCACAAACCATGGAAAAAGTCTCAATCAGCACTCACAGTCCATGACAAAACCAATCTTTAATTCCAGTTATTACTGCTTGTTTTGACTAGAAGGGGAATGAACGTATCCTGAACCAATAGAAAATGGACTGCCTGTTGGATTTGGCTCAGGCTCAGGGTGTCTTTAAATATGCTGGGTTTTTGCAGTAGACGTTCATAATTGCTCTGTTAGTTGAAGCAGAGTTGTACCACATTTTAATTTGTAGCAAAATTGATCATCAATTTTTATAAACTTGAGCTTTCAAAGAAGTATTTTTCTATACTTTTTTGTTTACCACTGGTGGGTTTATTTTATTTACCTCATAAAAGTAGATTTGACACGTGAATATATGTTAGTGAGAAGGATTTTAGTGGGCATTTTTTCCACTGCTTATAGTGTAAGATTTTCCTGCAGCATTTGATATTAGTATGATGTCACAATAAAACATCTGTTTTACATTACCTGGGTACAGTGATTCAAATGATTACATTATTGTTAACATGCAGTTTTCTACTATTACTCTGTGTGTTTTCAGTAGGTTACAAATAAGATCTGCCTGCTTTTTCTTGAAAAGTATTGCTGGTGGTTCAGAGGCTTCCTATCCCACAGGAAGTATTGAAAGCCACAGTTGCCATTCTTTTCTAACATTTGATCATTTCTTCCTTCTAAAATCATCTCAAAATTTTGGGGTTTCCCCTCTATTTTTTATTAAAATTATCATATAAGATAAAAGTGCTTTGTTTTCAGAAAAGTGCTAATATAAATAGAAGTATTATGAGAATAAATTACTATCTTTGTGAGAAATTGTATTGTTATGCTGACACTATTTCTGTCCATAGCTCTTGCTGTTCCACACAATCAGCTGTTTTTACACCTCCTCACCTCCTGTTAAAGGGAGCTTTGCTGCTCCTAAGTATTCACAAATTATCATTTTTTCTCTTAATTCTACACAAATATATATATATAGGAATTATATATATATATATATATATATATGTACTGGAATAATATTCTAGTTATCCTTACTGATTTTTTTGCCAAATGAGTTCAAAGAAAAAACTCATCATCATACCCATGGTTTACTGCTAAATATTTGGTACATACTCCAGCCACCAAAATGTTTTCCTGTTAAGTATTGGTATTTCCTGTTGTTATCTCCTAGTTTTCATTCCTAAGATTTTATCTGTTTTCATGGTTTGTTTTTTTTAAAGAAAGGTGCTTAAACAATTAACATTAGTATTTTAGTAAATTTATAGTAACTACCATACACCTATAAACATCTGTGTTTGATTTGAAATGTTTTCTGTTCTTTTTGGACAGTGAAATAACTTATCATTAGTTTCTTTTCATAATCTCCATCAAGCCAAGAGGGTACAGCAAGGTTTTATATATGGTTTTGCAGTGATGGAAAATAAATTGATGATAGTGTCGAGCAAGAGAAGAGAGATCTACTTATATTTCTGGATGAGTGAACAAATAGTACAAGTCATCAAATAGTCTCCAGCACTCACAGGATGAAATTTTCATAGAAAACTTGAAGTTCAATAGATTTTCACAGTTAGTTCATCATTAGCTGCAGATACATTAATAAAGCAAAATAAGCACAGCTAAATATATTTTAAAACAGCCAAAACAGATCACATTATTATTTCTAGAAATAAATAATTTTAAAGAAAAACTCAGATATTCATGTGGTAGCCTGCTTAATCTTCAACATGAAATACATGCTCAGTGTATTTCATCATCATCATTATTCCCAGTATGTGAAGATTTTGATCATCCTTACATACCAGCCTGAATTAATCAGCCCAACCGTTTTTAGTTGACTGTGTAGATCATTTTGTACTTGCATAAGGAATTTGAGGAAAATTACCAACCATATAGAACTGACATGCTTGGAAAGCAAAAAAGCAAAGGAGAACTGACAGCAAACTGCACTTGCAGCACGGAAATAAAGCCTGCATAATATTGGGCCACCTACCCAAAGACGTGAAGGAAGATAAGGCATTAGCTTCCTTCTCCAGAGCTACCTTAGGAATATTTGGAAGGAAAAAAGAAGGAAAATGTCTTAACATCTTAACAGTGAAATCATGTAATTTTCAAAGCTCTTTCAAATGTGGTCATGTAAGCTTGAATTTTGTAACTAATCTTATAAAATACTTTGGAAGGAAAACGGCTGCATCAAAATTGGCCTGTAGTTAGTATAGTTTCAATTTCCATGATTCTGTTTCTCTCTTTTTATCACTCTAATGTACATGAGAAGATAGATTCTAGTTAGTTAAAACAAAAACAAACCAACCAAAAAACAAAAAAGCAATAAAAAGACACCACTTTGGATGTATTAGAAAAAATTTCCAAATATAAAAATAGTAATTCTGCTTTAAATTTTGATTGTGTATGAAAAGGCAAAAAAAGTCCTGTACTAATCTGGATGACTGCATTCATTTTGTTAGATCTTAGGAAATCAAAATCTTCATTAGACGTGTAGCAAATTGAATTCAGGATTCTGGTTTATAATGAACTAGTAATTTTATTACAGCGATTTGATAAAATAGATAAGTGATCTGAAGAAATAGTGTTAAACACAAAAGGCCAAGTTCCAAGTGGGACACAGAAGCAGAAATAATTGACTGTATGACTGCACGATGGGAAGTAGCTCACTAAGTAAGAAACCTAAAAAGAGAGAATTTGGTGTATTAGATTATAAAGGAATGAGCCAAAAAATGTCATATAATGAGTAATTAGCACAGTCGTTATGTAAAAAGATCTATATGTATGTGGAAAAGTGGATCCAAAAATGGATCTGGATGTTCATGTTAAATGTTATTTTCTCTAGAAAACATAAAAAAAACATAAGCTGACTGTTGGTTTTGATTTTGGTTTTTTTTTAAAGATGTATGTGAATAACTTGAGATTATTGATAAGAAATTTTAGGCTTTTACAAGTCTGTTGTCACTTGGGTTTGGTTTCATTTTTTTTCCCTGTACTGTTTGGTGCCAAAGTTCTGGAATCTGTGGCGAGATAAGTATGACTTCCTGGAACGGCTTCCTGTCCCATTGCTCCTGTACATCATTTCCTTTCTGGAGCTTGAAGATATTGCCAGACTTTCTCAAGTTTTCACACAGGTCTGAAACAGTAAAAATTTTGGCATGTTGGTTTTGATTCATCTCATTGGTTTAACATAATCGTCAATCTGTCTGCTTTACTTAAGACAAGTAAAGGGTTGTCTCTTTATTGAGCTAGATCTTAGAGAGACAGTGCTTATCCTGCAAACTTTTATTTTATAATAAACACAATGATGCAGACAATTCCATTGCCACCCGTGGCTGGATGTTATGCCCTACTTCCAGGATTAAGTACTGGAAATGTAAAACCTTTGCTTTGTGTTATGATTTGTATTATTGTAATGTTTAGAAACTTCAGCCACAGCCTGGGATCCCCTTATGTTAGGCTGATTAGCAAACAAAAAGTCACTGCCATTCCTTACATTTACATCTGTGACAAAAGACAGGAGCACAAGGAAAGAGATTTTTTCTTTTTTTTTTCTTTTTCTTTTTTTTTGTTAGACTTCACTGCAAGAAACTGTAAGAAACACAGGAGGAGAAAGAGATGACTTTATGCTTGCTTGCTAGGAAGCTCTTTCCAGCTATCAGGAAAGCATGGGAAATAGTATGAACATCTTGAATTTAAACTTTAAAGAGAGAATAACAGAAGTCACCACTATTGGCTGCCTGGAGCTCAGAGCAGCCTCCCTGTGCTGAATGAGGGGTAATGAACTGAAAGGGTAGCCTGGACATTGCAGAAGAATGAGGGGCAATCTGTCCCTCATATTGAAAAGTCCTTCATATAGAAAAGTCATATTGAAAAGGCCTTTGAGAGGTCATCTGTTCCAGCTTCCTGGTCTGTGCAGGGTCAGGAAATTGGGATAGAAAGATAATGTGTTCAGAGCTATGATCTAGGAAGCTTATTTTTGTGGGTCTGAATACCTCAAAACTGTATCTTCTATCCCAGTCAGAGCCTGAGAAAAGGCTGCTGCAATAACTCCAGCAGGGGGAGAAAAAGATTTTAGCTTATGAAAAACAGGAAGAGAAATGTTTTAAAGAGAAAAATAACTTCTTATCCCCGAGGGTGCTGTAGGAGCCTAGAATGAAGCCTGTCAAGTTATGAGTTGAGCAGTTAATGAAAACATAAGTAATGGTGAGACCTTATGAAAAAGTTAAAACCAGGTTTAGTTGTCTTGAGTCTGCTGTGACAACTAGATACACTCTGAAAGACTTCAGAGACACAGATTAACCGTGTAGTGTGGGGAGAGGGATGTGTCTGGTACAGAGCACATCTCCAAACTGTATCAGGATGAGATTGCTCCCAGGGTTTCTATTATTTTGAGGCTACGTGGGTCAACATTTCAAGTTGTGTGTCAGACTGCTGGCAGTCCCAGAGGACGTGGCTGTGCTGCAAAGGTGTTACAGATGCTTCATCAAGGCAGAGTTCAAGTGAGCACAAGAAATAGGAGACAGTGCAAAGAAAGCACAGGAGAACATGACGAGTCAGGAAAATAGAGCATGTCATTAATTTAGAGATGAAGGCCAGATGGGAGTAGATAAGCTTGCTGAGTTCTGGGCTTTATTTCAGTTTGCAGATAAAACAGTTGATATTGTGACTGGGAAACAACTGGTTAGAGAATAAGGGAATAAAAACAACTAAAGGAGAGGAAGAGAATGGACAGAAGAGAGGTCAGGAAATTATTTGTTAGTATATCTGGAATTCATCTGTCATTTTGCAGACTGTGAGTGGAGCAGGATGAAGTACTGTGCAGGGCAATAAACTTTTCATTAGTTTAACATAAAGCCTTGGATATTCTGGAATTTAAGGAAATCCTAGAAAGACTTAAGTTGCATGATAAGAAAGATAAAATTTTGGGACAATGAAATAACCTACTAGAACTAGTAGGTTCTCTTTCTCTCATTTCAGAAGTATTTTTATGGAATTAAAAATTTGCCCCAATAATATGAGTTTTCATTTCCAAAATAATTCACGTGTAGGCTGGAATGCTGCTCTCTGTGGAATTATCAAATATCTTATTCGGATTTTATATTTTTGTCCGGGCACAAGGGCAGGGCGGGACTCGTTTCGGTTGTTTCGGGACGAGCCTCTTCCAGAATTCCCGGTGCTGCGGGGACGTTCCACCGCCAGAGGGCGCCGGGCCCCCGGGGCACGGCCGGAGTCACCGGGAACGGGGAAGATCCGCGGGAACGGCGGGAACGGCGGGAGCGGCTGCGCTCTGCTTCCTATATTTATTTTTAGTTTTTTTTTTTAACAGAACACTGTGTTTGGAAATAAAAACATTTGATAATAAAAACCAGCCTCTGCTATTTTTAACTTCACGGTGTCCATTTCTCATGGGAAAAGCTGAATGGGGGAGAGGCAGAGAGAAAGCAGAAATTCAAAGAAAACTTTTAAAAGGTATATATTTTCATTTCAGCACTTCTACAGCAATTTTGCCTCAATGATCCCTGCTTTTCCTTTGCTAAAACGTGCTAGGATGTTGTGTGTGCCTGCACAAGAACAAACGGTTCACACCTACAGTGACAGCTTTGCTGTAGGCAGTGAATTAAACAGTTTAAGGTATTCAGCTCCATCAGCAGTAACACAAGTTATACCAGGACTTTTGCTGTTCTATTTCTGTTACCACTTACCAGCCACTTGAATTGGAGTCATCGAGTACAACTGCACTTAGGTCCCTGCAATTGCACGTGTAGAGAAGTGGAACGTTTGGGGAAAAATCAGTGTTGCTGTGCTCTTGTATTACTTACAATGGGTAGATAATACATAATGACACAGAGTATCTGCCTCATTTTTTTTGGTGATAGTTCTGTCATCTAATAAATTACATCATTTTTTCTTCCTCTTTATAATATTTTTACCTGATTTTTTAATGGAGTCATTCTGAAAGAGAGAAGCACCTTCTGACAAACAGGCTTAATCCTTACAGTACTTCTGAAAGTTGCCTAAAATTGCATTTCTGTTGTAAGCCCAAGGCTTCTCTTACGTCCTTGAAAACAGATTTGTATTTCTGATGTGATTTCTACATCCTGACAAGTCTTTTGGCATCAATTTACCCAGCTCGGTTGATTTCAGAGCAGGTGTATGAATCACATACCAGGAGATTATGGCATTACAGCTGCTTTTAGTGTGGCAGAAAGGCCTTTGATATCATACCAGAAGAAGCTTCTCAGATATTTCACAGAACAACATGGGATATCTTGCACTGGCAACTCTGGGCAAAACTTCCACTGATATCTTGTGAGTTTTAACTAAAACTGTGTCTTTCAAGATACGTGGGCAGCTCACACTGCAAGTGACCTTGATACAAGGCCTCTGTGCTGTCTAAACACATTCTGTGTAGTAGAATAATCACCAATGAGTAAGCCAAATTATGATTTCTAACCCTCTACTTTCTCTTACAACTACCTATGTGACAGTGTGCTATGGGAAACTATTGTGGAGAACTTGTGTGACACAATCACACCTGAAATGAAGGAGCTGGCACAGGAAGTGGGCTGGAAACCATTCTCTGCACACAGATGTCCACTGCAGCTGCAGCTCTGAAGGAGAAGGCAGAAACAAGATGTTCAGAACAAATAACTGAATAAAGGTTCATTTTTCACTGAAGCAATTGTTGTAAGGTGTGGGTTTGCTGTTTATCGGGTCAAACACATGGACTGCTTTACTGAGGAAAGCAGATTTTTTTAAGGATTGAAAGAGGAAAACCAAAATATGTCTCACTAGAAGCAACATGTAAACAATACAATCTTTAATATGTTGGGCATCCTGAAACTGTGTTACAATCAGCATCATAGCAGTTACTAGTAATATAAATGGTTGTGGCTTCTTTGTACTTCTTCATTCTGACTCGTCTGGTTTGTATATCTGCTATCCACTCCCTGGCTTATAGCAGACGCTGTGGCATTGTCATTAGTACCCTTACAGAAGCATCTATCACTTCATACTAGAAAAATTGCTCTTGAGCACTGGGCCTTTTACTGTCCCCCATGGTAAATCTGCAGTGTTTACAGGCCAATAACAGGTAGCTCGTTTCCAGAGTTTGATGTGTGTTGAAATGTTTTTAAATTAATTATCTAAACTTCAAACAAATAATAATTTTGTCACCAAGAAGAAACTTCTTTGGAGACTGAGAGTGTGGATCAGATGATCCTCCTCATTTTGGACAATCCTTGAACACCATGTTAGAGCCACTCTGCCAGGATGGCAAATGGGAAACGTGTTTCCTTCATCCTGCTGATGCAGGAACTAATTTACTTCCATTGTTCAAGTTGCATATTTCATAAGAGATATTTGCTGTCTTTCAAGACTGTAACTATGGCTCTTTAAGAGTGTATATATGTATGTATGTATATATCAATATTCTGGAAGCATTTGGTGATCACTGATCTTAGAAGAAACACATATATATCCTTTCTTCTTTGTGATTCTTTCATTTTAGGATAATGACAAATACAAATTTCATCACATGGATAAAACACTGCCCTAACTGAATTAATAAATGAACAGAAAGTGTATTTTTGGGTAATGTAACTTTATTCCCAACATACGGCCCATAGAAAGATATAATGCAGATATTACAAGTGAACAGCATATTATTTATTACTGTAATATGCAAATAAAGTTACTTTTGACAAAAGACAAAGTGAATATCTATGTATGAAGGGTACATATCTTTCAAAAAGAAAAAAAAAGTAAAATAAGGGAAATCATCACTTCAATATATATATTTCACAGATAAAAGACAGCTCAGTTAAAATAAGCTATCAGCAGCATTCACAACAAGAAGACATTAAACCTGTAACAAAGAACTGATGTGAAAGTTTATGTGAACATCTTCTCCAACAAAAAAAGCTATTTTTAAGAAGTTACAGTGTGTTCACACCATGTGTTGCAGTTCAGTGCCACCTCAGTTGTTTTATGTGACTTTTAAAGGCCATACATAACTACTATACGATTGAACTGATCTAAATCTTAAAGTAGTTCAGGGTTTTCTTAAGGGTTTTTTTTTTTGGCTCATTTCAGTGATCTATTTTAAAATATGTCCTTGCCAACAGTTGTAGAAGTGCAACACTAAGAAGCTGGTGAATTGCAATATAGAACAATACACAGAGTGGTTCAGAACTTTTTCTCAGCCAACTTTGCAGCTATAAAGAGGACAAGTAGTGTTGCAAACTCAACTGTGTCTAATAGTTCTTCAATATAATTGAATAGTATCAATTGGTTTTTTTAAGGAATTCCAGCAGCACATATCAGTGTTATACTAAGAACCTGATTTGTCATGCAAAAAACTTTCATAAAGCTAGGAGGATAAAAACATACAGTGGCTTTTCTTTGACAGAAAAATTAATGTGAGATTCACCTCTCAAAGCTGAAAATTATGTCCTGTCCCACCATACAACACCTTCTGCATTGGTTACCAGGTGCTTCATGTTAAGAAAATTTATTTGAATAATTCAAACGTTCTTTAGCTCTTCTATGCTCTGCAGCATCTTATTTTCTAGTGAATAAACTTCTCAAACATGACCAATCTTATTCAGTTCATGGTGTACACTATGAGCAGGAACACAACTGCTCATAATGTAACAGTTTTTGTTATTAAAGTAATTGTAACAGAATTTAGTGTGCTGTACTAGAGCTCTTTCCCATGGAAGGACTCAGTGGCAATGTTAAGAAGTTCTACAGTACCTCTAATTAGATAAAGGGGCCACAGACCCCAGACTGTTCCTGGAATCATTTTCCAGTCACGAGAATATTTTCCATATGTTTCCCATTTCTGCATTTATGATTTTTTTACTTCAGGTGCATTAAGTGTCACAGCATTTATAATGCAGCCTGTGTGTTGAGGATGGCCACTTTATTACGCAGTTGATACTTTAAAAAAATAAAATTAAAAATCCTTGAAGTAGAATCACAGAATCACAGAATATTCTGAGCTGGAAGGGACACACAAGGATCATCAAGTCAAAATCAGTCACTTCAGAAAAATATAAGAACTTTTCTTCAGTTTTGTATCACAGAAATAGTAATTTTAAAACATTCAATTAATGGAGTTCTTATACTAGCATTTCAACAGTACTTGACTAGCCAGGCAAGAAATACAATCATTTTCTTATACTCTGTAACTATCAGACTGAACACATAGTAGGAGGGACCTTTATAAATCATTCGTGTCCTGACCAAATTCTCTTGTGTAAATCAGGAGTAACTGCACTGCAGTCAATGGATTCTCACCAGTGGTTAGTGGTGAAAAGTTGAAAGAGAAGCAAGGGTAAAGGCTACTAGCATTGTGCTGATATTAAAAGACTAGCAGTGTGCTTTTAATCACTGTATTTGGTACTTCTAAAGTAAGAGATCTTAATTATTTTAAAAGCATGTTTCTCATAATTTATTAGCATTATGGAGCACATTTGCTTTTCACTTAAGTACAGCTTAATGTGGTTGGTTTCATAAGAAAAACATCTTCATACTGTCACACAATAGAAACATGAAATCAAAAAAGTTCTGTAAAAAAACTTCTGGAATTTGTTCTATACTTGTGCTTCTTCTGTAGATTTTTGTCTTGGTTGTTTCTTTTGAATACAAGGTTGTATAAGTAAAAATATTATTCCCACCATGTATAGCAAGCCAGCTATGTAAAAAGAAAAATCATATTTTTGTGTGATGTCATAGATCCAACCTGGAAAATAAGGACAAAACATGTTTGTTACAAAGCTTGACAACAAGGTATACTGCATGGGAAAATACAAAAAATACTTCACATTTCTCTGATGACATTTCAGTCAAATCCATAGATGTTTTGTGGAAACAAACAATTTTCAAACAAGTTGTCACAGGTCTGAATTTAAAATAGACATTTTGTAATCCCAAACCAATCAGCTCTTCCACCCTACTACTGCCTTTGTGAAATCCCCAACACTGCCCAGTTCAAATGCTCTGCCTTGTGCAAGCAAACACATTCCCAACAGCTTCCTCAAAGACTCACATACCAGTAACAGACTTCTGAAGAGATATAATCTCAGTGCTGCAGTGACTCTCATTCCAACCTCAATTCCTTTGCAAAACCACATTAAAGTTATTTCAGAAAGGTCTGAGAACCCAAACTAGCAAAATTCTCTCATGTCACGCTGGCTGCATTGCGATGCAGCACAAGATCAGCAGCTCTTTTTACATCAACCACTTGCATCCTATTTGCTTCGTAACCAGTGACCAAAGACAGAGCCACGTTCGGCATAGACTGAGAGGTGCTGAGGGAACATATGGCAGAGTGAAACACTGCTGCTTCCAAAGGGCACTGAGTGAGCTTTCTTCTGACTCAGAGGTGGGCACAGGAGCTGTTCTCTCTTTTCTGGGCTGCTCGTGCTGCCAGTGGCTTCCCTTCAGCCCACAGCCATCCCTGGCTGACCATGGCCAAGACTATCAAGGTTTTTTTCTGCTTTCTTCTGACCAACATCCCTGTAAAAGAGAGCTGTAGGCTGGTACAGTACTGACAGTTAGGACCCCTATCTCTTCTGCACTTCCCTGCCTCTTTCTATGAGAAAATTCATAATGAATGTCTGTTCAAACCTAAGTAACTAGGGGTACTATGCATATTACACTTCTACCTTCTGCTGTGAATGGCAGTAAAGAGGTTATGAGCACTTCAGTCCCCAGAGTAAGTATTTCTGGCTGAAGGAAGGCAAAGTTAGTTACATCAACACATCCACTGGCAGCTTAAAGTGGTGACACCCAAACACACCCCACAGTTCTTGGGGGTAATAACTGTGGTACAAACAGCTGCCTGCCCTGGGAACTAATCATCATTTTTTCATGTGGTAGAGGAATGGGTATGTATGGTGCATATACTATATAAAACAGAAAAATAGGTTACACCTTTCTAGTTGAAAAAAAAAGTGCATGACACTATTTTAGGGAAACATACCATTGAAAGCATAGATTGTAATAAATCTGGGGTTATTTCCAAGAACTGGAATTTGCAGTGTGAGCTGGTACCCAGAAGATGTGATCTGTGACTCTGTACAATTTAAAGCTGAATGTTATAGTCCATTCTGGAGTAGTTGTGATTTTGTTAACTACACATGCTCATAACATAAGAAAAATTAATAAGAGAAGGAGTCATACAGTTATTATACAAACATCTGTTGTTTAGCAATTTGAACTTTTTACCTGCAAAGGGTGGTCCAAACAATGCAGATATTCCATTGGCACAAATGATGATGCCATAGGCATTTGCAAGGTGTTTAGTTCCAACTAAATCTTCAGTCACAACAGGCATTAGAGAAAAATAGCCACTGGAAAATCCTATTAGAGCACAAACCACAGCCAGGCCGACATATGTTTGTATTAGTGGCAAAGTAAGAATGCAGGTGACCAGGGTAAAGTTAGCCATAAGGAAGACATTCCATGTGCTGATGCATGGGAGATCAGAGATTATTCCAAGGATCACTTTACCAAAAATATGAACAATTGCTATAATGGATGTCAAAGGAAATACATTGTCCTGCCTAGATAAGTTGTACTGCTTGACTATTTCTGGAAGATGAATAAAGGGAATGACAAAGCTGCTATAGGCAAACAAAGCCCAAATTATAAAGGCCACAAATACTCTATTGGTAAACAGTGATGCAGCTCCAAAGTAGCTGGAGTACCATAGTGCAAAGCCCTTCCTGACTGTAAGTGTCAGCTGGCTCACTGTCTTAAGCAAGCGCAGTCCATACATATTCCTTCCGCTCCCAGAGCTACCTCCGATTTCTATGTGCTGAGCACTCTCAAGCACTTCTTCATTTGTTGCCTCTTCTTTTTTCTCTGGTTCTTCACCGAGGACTCCATTAGATTTTATAGTCTCTGTAGAATGGGACAGAGCTTTTGCTTGATTATCTTCACTATTACTTCTCACAACAGATTTTTCACTCAGGTCTTTGGGGGAGAGAGGTCTCATAAGTGCCCCGCAGACACAAAGGTTCAGAGAGATGGCACCCTGGATGAACATGGCATTTCTCCACCCAAATTCAGTGCAGAGGTACTTCAGTAAGGCAGTCATTAAGAAAGCTCCAAATCCTGTTCCTGTGGTACTGAGCCCTTGTGCAAGTGCTCTTCTCTTCTGAAAATACTGCCCCACCATGACCACTGCAGGCAGATAAACCATGCCACTTCCAATGCCTATGAAAATAATAAAAAAAAAATCCAAATAAATTTAAACTTTTTGCCAACAATGTAAAAAGCAATGAAAAACATATCAGTTTTATTCCTAACTTTTATGCAAGCATGCTGGTAAAACCAATAATAAAAATTAATATTCAATTCTGATGTCAGCTTTCATTTCTGTCTTGTAGTGTTTTCCAAAATTTTCAGTACTCATTCCAGTGAGAATACAAAACACATATTTAACTGCTGGAAAAACTTAAACACGTGGAAGATAAAACCTTAGTTCAGCATGACACTGCTGGAAGGGCACAAACGTGCCACAACCAATCAGGGACAGTTAATGTGAGGACAAACACAGACACACCCTATTCTGCATTTGCAATACCTGCATCTGATTGTATCAGTGACCCGAACTGCTTAGTGAGCACATCTTGCTGCTTTCCCCTAAGTTCACCAGCAGTGAAGATTCACACTGAGTTTTTGTCCTTGCTCTGTAACTGTGGTGCCGCAGTGACCACGATATCTGTTTCAGGAGCCAGCACCAGGGCTTAGCACACTGGGGGGACCTTGGGTGGCTTCCAGGCTGGTTCTGTTTGGGCACTCCAAGGAAGTCCAGGGAGGGCCACACAGTAGCTACACAGGCGTAAGTCTTAAAAGGCAGATCTCTAATTTTGTAGAAACCCCCTCACCTGTAGTTAAAAACCAAGGTATTCATGGTATATACTTCAAGCAGAAAGTGTTAAGAGCTGTGCAAACTCATCATTAAAGAAGACAGTTGCCCATTTTTTCTCACAGCCTATTCCTCATAGAGGAATTTGGACTGGAACAGGTGTATGCAGAAGATGCTTCCCAATACACTGTGATCATAATTCAGAAGAGTGTTTTGGGGTTTAAAAGTTTTCCTAAATAGGTGATAACACAGCTGCAAGCAGCTACAGCATGATCTAGCTACAGCTAGGTGAGAGAAAGAGCAGTGATTCCAGCAAAGCCTGAAAAAAAGCCCTTCAACATCACAGCAGTGATCATAACCAGAGCTGACTTGTTTTGCCTATTAGAAGTATTTCTTTGCTGGGCAAATACACATTCAGGTTTTTATTTTGCACAAATGCCCCTCCCCAGCCACAGAGTTCAGGGAGGCCTCTTTGCCCCCCTGGAGACCTCCTGCTCCTCAGGCTGCCCTGGAGCTCTCCTGCCCCTCACTGCTGGCTGCAGTGAGGAATCAGCTCCTGCTTGCACCAGTGCTCACCGTGTTTCCCCAAGAATACAGCATTTTAAAATGGTGTTATCTTTTCATTCTGTGGGCTACATAGCAAGAGACAGTCTGATTACAAGTGAAGGCCTCATGTACCTGCCTCACAGGCACACACGGGGCCGCAGGTCTCTCCTTGCCTTTTCCTCCCAGATTCGTCAGGGCCAGCTCGGCTCTGCCCCCGCCATGCAGGGTCTCGGGGACAGTCTGCCCCCAGCCCACAGGGCCTGCCAGTGCCAGCGGCTCCAGAACGGGTGAGGGGAGAAGGCTCCTCTGCCCCCACACTGCTGCTGAGGGGAGGAGAGCCCGCAGAGCGGGGCTGGGGCTGTCGGCCAGGAGGTGAAGGGACCAGGCTGTGAGGAGCTGGGGAAGGGGAACCACCCTGAGGTAACCCCCCGGGATGGGCTGAGGCAGCAGGCTGGCTGCGGACAGGGAGACACGGTGGGGGTCACAGGGACATCCTGTGAGAAGGCAGGAACCATGAGTAAGCCCACAGGCACAGCATGGGGGCCCAGAAGTGATGGCAGCAAGAGGCGGCCACTGTAAGGGAACAGCAGCCATGAGAACATGGCACAGACTTCCCTGGGGTGGCGGGGAATGAGGTGACCATGAGCAAGGGGATGGGACTGAGTGGGCAGAGCCCGAGGCGAGGGGTGAGTGAGGAAACCATGTGTGAGGGGGTGGTGAGCCAGGGATCAGTGAGTCAAGGAGATGGTGAGTCAGGGGACAGTGAACGGAGGTCTCATGGAGCTGGAAGGAACATCTGAGGCACTGCTTTTCTGGCCAGAATTACTCCTGCAACACCATTTTATTTCTCCACCTCACATAAAAGTTTGCTTCTGAATTTTTTCCATATAATCTTTGTCACTTTGTGTGTGCTCTTCCTGAAAAGCAGCAAGGGCTGAGGGAAAAATATGTAGATTCCTGCCTGCTCAATTATATTCAATATATACAGAAACAGAAATTCTGAAAAAGGCAAAATCCTGTCTGTGGCCATTGTTCTTTGTTCAGGAATTTACATTACTGAAGTCTATGGTATGGTGGTATATAAAGAGTCAGTACAGTGACCCTTGCTAGTTTCAATATTTCTCCACCCAGAAGGCTAAATCAAAATTTCTGTATAGAAATTCTGTAGCTTTCTATGAAATTCTATGAAAGGACGGTTTAAGAGAATGCCGAGTACTGAAGCTATTATTAGTATTACAAACAATTCCTTTTTTTCATGACGTTTCCATCTGTCACATATAATACAGACACTGTGCTTCATTTGCAAACATAGCTGGCCACGTTATCTGTGGAGTGAGTAATATTTCAAAGCCCCTTGATTGCTCAGTGTTGCTCAGATGATAAGTAAAGCCCAAATTTTATATTTCTTACTCAGGTAACTTTCACATTTCTGCTTCATCTCTATTAACAGTATCTCTTTGCAGAAATGAACAGTAAATAAAATGAAGTAGTGCTTTAAGCAGATAATACTGGGCTATTCTACATAACTTACTTAAAGTAACTAAATTTTTTCACAAGATACATTATTGCTAGAACATGAGCATTCAGGCACTAAGGATCTGTTGATTTTGAAAAAAAAATGCCTTTTCATATTTTGATCAGGGTCTTACAAGTCAAAAGGTTTTCTAGACATCTAATTTCAATTAAAATGACAAAATATTACTTCGGTCATTTTGGTTGTAAAAAAGTGTAGCACTATTTGTTGCTATACATGATTGCTGATACAATGTGAATATCCTTTATTAGAAATTAGGTATGAAATCCAGCATCATAAATTATCCTAATTGAGGCTGGGATAGAGTTGATTTTCTTCCTAGCAGCTCATACAGTCCGTGTTTTGGATTTGAGGCCCAACTACAGTTGATAACCCAGCATGTTTTAGCTGTTGCTGGGCAGTGCTTACACAGCACCAAGGCCTTTCCTGTTTCTCACACCCCCCAACAGTGAACAGGCTGGGGGAGCACAAGAAGCTGGGAGGGGATGCAGTGGGACAGGGGACCCCAACTGGCTGAAGGAATATCCCACACCATTTCATGTCGTACTCAGTAATAAAACTGGGAGAAAGAAGGAGAAAGGGAGGGCATTTGGAGCTGTGGCATTTTTCTTCCCAGGTAACAGCTACATGTGACCAAGCCCTCCTTTACTGGACATGGTTAAACACCCGCCTGCCCACGGGAAGTAGTGAATGATTCCTTATTTTTCTTTTGCTTGCGCACACAGCTTTTGCTTTACCTGCTAAACTGTATTTATCTCATTTTTACCTTTCTGATTCTCTCCCATCTCACTGTGGAAGAGTGAGAGAGGTGCTGTATGAAGCTGATCTGCCTACCAGATGTAACCCACCTCACCCTTTAGTTTTAAAGCAGCACATAGTTATTATAATCCGGTATTGTATTAATGTGGAGCAACTCCTGGAGAAAACATTTCCTGTTTCGTCCTGTGACAAAGAGAGGAGTTAGCTATATATATAATTCAACAGTGTTTTAACTTCTTTAAATTTCATTTGTTAGAGTTTGGGTTACATTAATTCTTCCAATTAAAAATGTCCTCTAATATATTCACTTGGCTAAAACTGATAAAAGCCCAATCCACTGAGTAAATAATTAAGATTTCTAAAAAGATAAAAGGCTGTAAAGACTGTGAAAGAAGAGCTGGAATAACTTTACAATCTAACTTCCCTCTTGACTCACTCGGATAACCTTCAAAGGAATCAGAAGTAATTGAACTTTCAAACATTAGTGCAGCTCTTACCGGCTGTCACTCCAAACGTAAGGAAGAGGTAGTGCACACTGGAGGCATAGGCACTCAGGATCCAACCCAGGGCATTCAATATGCCTCCAATTATAGCTGTCAGGCGGCACCCACACATGCTGATGAATAAACCAATAAAAGGACCTGTTAAAAACCATGAGAAAAAAAAAAAAAGAGAGAAAAGATAAATTATTTATTTAATTCTCTTGCTCTAGCAATTTTTCACATTGACTTTTTTAATGCTTTAAATAAAACGTAAAACATCAGGCAACTTGTGCAATTCAGTTTATTTTCCATATTACTGCTTAAAATTATGCAAAGAAAAATATGACCAACTGATCAAATACTTAGCAAATACCTGCAAGACCTAAAATCAGAGTTGCCTCATGAAGGATAGACAGTTTAAAGAGAGGAAAAAGCTGAAACTGCTGTTCCCAATGCTGATGCTGTGTGAGTGCAGGCCTTTTTCATAAGTAACTAGAAAGTAAACATTTTATTTTGTTTTCAGTGGGATATTTTAGGCAGATCTAAACACAGCTTTTTCAATCTTCATTTAGGGAGCCATAGGTGTATATATACACATACATGCAACCATATCCTCCAGATATTATTTTGAATTGATCCAACCACAACTTAAAAAGTAATTTTTAATTCAGCTGCCAAACTGAAATATAAACTGAATTCAACATTTTCTCCTCCTAGATAGAGTACAGAAAGGACCACAAGCTTCACAGATCATCTGTTTCCTTAACTGTAGTGAGACCTTGAAGTCACAGGCTTCCTTTCCTGCTCATCCCGTCTCCTGGACTGACATCCCTATCATCTTCCCTGTTGTTCCCTTTTCCATCTAAATTGTAAAACTCGTCCTAGGGACTTCAAAAAGGCAACTCAGGACTACTTTGTCAGCTCTGCTAATAAAATGGGAAACTAAGAAAATACTTTAGGGATGACTGGCAAACATATTCTAAAAATCTATGTAGTTTTGAAGTAACTGATGCTAGAACATACCTACAATAAGTGTAATGCCCATGCTGAGGGAGCTGACCCACGCTGTTAAGCCACGGCTCTGATTAAACTCTTCAAGCCACTCCATGTTGAGTACTCCAAGGGCCATTTGGGAACCCATGATAAGTATGTGCACAAGGAAAGAGGAAAATACAATCATCCAAGCCCATCCTCCATCGATGTTTGGATTAGGCTTAATTGGCTTACTTCCAACTTTTGAGTCGTCTCCAAAATCATACCCAATATCCTCTCGACTAGCATACATTTTCTCCACAGGATTCTGAAACAAATGCAGTAAACACCTACAAAATACACACACAAATATCAGACTTTTTATTTTGGCTATAGTGAATACCACAAATCCCTATCATATTTCACCACTTTTATTTAGTGCAGTTCTCAAGTTAATATTGTGATTTCAGTGTTCAAATGTAAAATGCTTAGAAAATTGTCCAATTAATTTATTTCTTTGTGTACCTTATTATCATGGCTGTCTATGCAGGAGTATTTACAGGCTAAGAGTAGGCTGCATTATTTCCATTAGTATAGATTCTACTTACTTTCAGGTGGCTGAGAGCACTCACTCTTCATGGGTTGACTGTGGTCACAAAAAAGACTGGTCTCTCTGTGTATTTCTTCACACCTTTTGCTGTCCCAGTAAGATTTAGTGCCTTTGTGTTCAAGTTCATAAAGCTTTGAGTAAAGAAATGAAATCCTCAAGAGGCAAGTAGGTGAAGTTACCCCATCTTTTCAGAGGAAACCAGTTTTCAGATGTATTTCTTCCTTAGCAATGGCAGAACAAGAATGAAGACAGCAAAAGACAAAGAATTACGGTTCTTGATTTTCAAAATGCTTTCCTTACATAAATCACAACAAGGGGATTGTTACTACCTCTCTGGGAAGCTTTTTACTGGAGTCAATGTGACAAACAGTTTGCTATTATGCTTTCAGTTTCCATAGTATTAATCCTTATAATCCTACCAAAACCAAAGAATTCTTCCAAATGAATGTCAGTGCCTATCAGAATCAAACCCACAGGCAGAGTTATGTATAGGTGTACATAGGAGCAAGCCATACTTAGCATAATTTGATTACTTCAGTTTACTGTAGTTACTCTAAACAAAGATTGCAACACAATGTGAAAATAATTTCAAGACCATTTTTAATTGATTAACATGCAAGGTGCAGAACCCAGCCTTCCCTCCATCTGATTTCTGCTGCAACAGATTGAAATATTACCCAACTGTGGAGCACCACACAGGTTTCCATGGAGACTAGAAATGTAATGATACAATTTACCAGAGATGGTAATTTTTTGTCTTTCCTTCTCCAGAGAAATAAAAAGAAACATCAGCTTCACGGCAGTTGAAACAGAGAAGAAAGTTATCAAAAATTGTTTAAAAAAGCTCCTTATATATTCTGTGAGCCCTCAGAAGGTGTCTTTCTGGGCTAGCTCCTCACTGCTGCAAACGGGCAGTGAATGGACTAACTCAGATTCTGTACCAAATGAAGATTTGTCTTTAAATGCGTGACTGCATTTTGCTTTTCAAGGTACTACCTTTCCAAACGATTTTACTTTTTTTCTGATTGCTAGATGAACACAGAGAGATGGCCCTGGAGTATTCCACGCTGATACACAGATGGAGTCAGCGCTGACTGGTCAAAGCTGTTTCTCTCACAGACACCAGTGAACACCTGCTGACATGTGGGACCTCCCCAGCCTGGCTGTTGGGTAAGTTACCTTTGCAGTCAAGTGCCACCTGACCCATCCTGGCACTACAGGCAATAATGTGTAACTGAGGGCAGCTTGGACACGTAGGTTCCTCCAAGAGCACACTGATTTGCCTCATACAGTGAGCTGGAGCTAAAATATGTTGTAATCCTGGCATAAAATTTTTCAGACAAATACTCTTCAGTGACTTAAGTTCTCCCTAGCCCTAACTTGGCCATGGCAGGTATTGGTGACAGGGAGGAAGAACAAGAACTTGTGGACATTTAACACTGCATGGACAGATAAAGTGGGATCGATTGATGAGTCCACACCTGGCTGCCAGTGGAAATGGGTACTGAAATGCCTTATAGGCTTTTGCTTTCCAAAGTGAGAAACAGGAAGAATGGGGATGGTGCTTAGAGGTCTTTCCAGAGGTTCCTGCAGGGTGTTTGAGGCAGGAAGGGTAGCAGGGGAGCCAGGCAGAGCCATGTGGGGGTGCAGACTTGTTTTTTGACAAGGAGACAACAGACTGGGATAGCCTTAGTTACAAACATAGCTCATCCTTCCTCTACAAAGGGTAGGTCTTAAAGGTGACATCTCAACTCTTTCCTAATAATGTACTTGGAGCCAGATCCCCTGTTGCTGTAGTTTAGAGAACTACCTATGGAGGATTCAAGAGAGAAGACTAACTGCATAAAGGCGATAAACACAGTGAATAATCGTGCTAATGGGAAATCATGAGAAATAGCAGAATGAGGGAAAATCACAAGCTATTATGCATGCTCTGCATAAGATTAATGAAAATGTATGATGGATATTACAGCACATCTTTGATAATGGAATACAAAATTATGTAACTGAAAATTCAGAGTCAGGATTAAATGTGAGGCCTCACCTTTCTCTTTTATGCTTTTGACTGCTTTTGTGCACACCTGAATCCTGATACTGGATACAAAAATTTTCTTCTTTGGACAGAAAATTGACACGTCTTTTACCTATTTTAAATTATTTGAAGCAAAAATAATTGACATTGAGCTACAAAGATATGACACTCATCTCTGCAGTCTTGCTGACAGAATGGGCTTAGATTGAGTAGATGCAAGTTAATGTCATACTTGCATCAACCTCCACAAATCTTCAGAAAATGCATATATTTTCCCTTTGAACTGGATTCTTGCTTATTATTACTGTTTTACTGTTAACTTTTCCCTAACGTCACAATTTCAGAGTGAATTCACTCAAAAGCAGGCAAGTCATCTCCAATAACTGCACAGACTCTCAGGCTCTGGATAAAGCAAGGAATGGATGCCTGGATCACCTTCCCAGTACTGACTCATCGCCCCATGGCCCGTTGTGCCCAGGAGAAATGCACTTACCTGTCCTCAGCCTTCTTCCCACAGCACAGCACAGCCAAAAACAGTCTCATGAAAGGCAGAGGAGCCAAAGGGAGTCTTTGTAATTATGAAATCCTAGAGAGCCAGGCCAGTTTCCCCAGTAAGCAAGGCAGTGAAGACCCATTCGCAGTAACAATGTTTGAATACAGCCCCTCACAGGGAATTGCATTTAAAGGCAGGAGAATCTGGATTCCTGTTTGGTCAGCTGGAGAAGATCTACATTTTTTTTTTTCAGAAAAGCTTTTAGGACTGTATGCACACAAAGTATGCAGAGCTCTCAGAAAAATGGCCCAAATAGTAGTGCCTGCAAAGATGCTGAGCTTTTTTGAAAATCTGACTCATGAGCTATTTCAGGGGCAAATGCAGGTGCTGTAATAAGACCATGGTTAGCAGCAAAATACCCAAGTTCCCTGTACTATCAGTGGAGCTATAGCTCTCTAGCCTGTAGTTGAACTAGACCACTGAAAAACATCTGATCTTGATGTAAAGTCCATATGATGAATAATTGACATATACTTGGGCAACCTCTTCTAGCACGTGACTGCCTCAGTATTAAAAGTTACAGAATAAAATCGTACTTTAAAGGCACTTCCAATGGATAACTCATAAACGTATTATAACTAGTAATGAGTTTTGCTTTGCAATATTCCCAGTAGACATACCACATGTAATTATTTGTCTGCTGAAGGCATACAGAAAAAACATTGTTAAAAACATCGTTTATTTTGGTTTTCGTATGTTTTGGCAGTCTGACCTCACCTAGCCAACACGAGCGCTTCAGCTGTCAACGACTTCACTGGAGATGCAGACACTGGCCACTTCTGCCACTCAGAGCCACAGTGGAAGGAGTGTGTGTCCAGCAAAGAACACAAAATCGGGGAAATTAAATGTTCAAAAGGCTAACTGCCAGGGTCACAAGTTTGCATAAAGTCGGCAGCGGTTCCATTTCCAGACTGGGTGTGCTGCCCTGCTGTCCCTTCCCGAGAGCTGTTTCCCAAGCCCTGCTCTGACCTCCCCGGGCGATCCCTCGGTGCTGTTCTGCCGCGGTGCGACCCACGCGTGGTGCCACGTCCCCGGGGACTGCGGGGATTGGTTTAGGCAGTAAAACATTTTTCTCCTAAGGGAACGGGCAGCTTTTGCCAAGGGAATGGTCAGCTTTCACCAGGCACGCACCTTTGTTTTGTGCAGGGTTACGAGAGCAGCCCAAAGGCAAGGGATGTACTTTTCGCCCCAAGATAACAGATTTGGGAGCTCCACATGCTGAGCCTTCCCCCAGCACTCCAGTGAGGTTCCCCTACGCGAAACACCGCCGGGGCGGGCACGGCCGCCCCTGCCCGCGCCGGGGCTTCTCCGGGGGCAGCGCAGCAGCGCCGGTGGCGGCCAGGGCGGGGGCCCGGGCACGGCCCGCGGGGCTGCGGCGGGGGCGGCGTTCGGGAGGGCGGCGCGGCGGCGGCACCGCCCGCCCGCGGAGCACAAAGGATGACCGCGAGTTACCCCGCTGCGGCAGCGGCGCTCCCGGCCCGCCGCGGGTCACGGGGGTCCCCGCAGTCCCCGGGCAGCCCCGCGCCCCTGCCCGCGCTGCACCGTGCGGGGACAGCCCAGCCCGGCCCGGCCCGGCCCTGCCCTGCGCGCCTTTGCCGCAGGCGGTCCCTGCCCGCTCCCGTCCCGGTGCCGGTGCGGGTGCGGTGCGGCGGCTCCCGGCTCCTCCCGAGGTACTCACCGCGCCGGGCTCCGCCAGCGCCGCCGTCCCTGCCCGCCACGGCGCCGAGCCCCCGCTGTCAGCCCAGCCCGAGCCCCGAGAGCTGCTGCGGGCTGCAGTGTCCACCTGCGCCCGGCCCCGCTCAGCCTCGCCCCTGCTCGCCGCCCCGGGGCTTATTTTCCATTGGAGTGCGGCACTGGTCTGGGGCCCCCTGCCCCCCAGGCGGCTCGTCTTCTGCACCGCCTTGTCTCCATTCCCTGCAATTTCAAATCTCCACGCTCTTTCATTCCTGCGATACCGGCTAATTCTGGTTTGGCGGAGCAGATTTGCAATCCTCTCACATGCACACTCTTGTGGCTGAATGAAGTTTATTGCTGCACAGGTTATCGCCGGAAATTTACATCCCAGAGAGTTAGAGGATATAGTCCAATAAAAACAGCCAGTATCAAGATCTTAACGGCCGTTGAATTATGTTTACTTCTTCGTTGAATTTATGCAGCTAAACCACCCTAAGAATGAAGCTCGAAAGTTTCAGTGTATGGTACCGTATTTGTGTAATAAATAAGTTTCAAAAATATTACTCCCTTAGGAGAAAAGCTGCAGAAATACATTATTTTTTCAGACCAGTATTCGCACCTCGGTCGTATCTTTCTGAATAATCTGACTAATGAGATATATATTCTGCAATTCATTGTTTTGATTATTTGCAGTGAATATACCCAGGCTAAAATGATTTTATACCACCATACAAAACTTTCATCATCGAAGAATCTTGATGTCCTAGCAGTGCACGGAGTAGTATAAATGAAGACTGTTCAAGAATATGTAAGAAGTACTTTGAGAGAAAAAAAAATGAGGAGAGGCCAACAGGAATGTTTTAATGGTGTTGTTAATGCTGTCTACGTGCAAGACATGGTGGTACAGAATCTGTTAGAATTGGTTTTAGAGGGGTTAAAATATGTGTTTGGGGGTTTTTATATATTTTTTCCTACATTTTTATTTGACTCTTTGGTTTATCTGCTGTTTACACATGAAAATCTCATCTATTTTTTAATTCAAAAAATGTGCTGCTCCATTATGTATTTAGTCTATCAAATATATCATTATGAAACACTTCTATCTGGGTTAGATTCAAGTGTGTGGCAGACTATGGGCTGTTGCTATGGCTTCGGTCTTTACATAAAACTTACACTACTTTGCATTGTAGTCTTCAAAAAATAATCCTTTCCCACAATAAACAACTGGATTACTGTCAGAGACTTGTGATTGGGTTATTTATTTTTCTTTTATAAATAAAACTAGATTTGTCATTTTAAAAGACTATGACACTGCATTGCAAATGTGTGTCATTCTGAAGTATACATATTCCTTGGTTCCTTTGTGTTTTACAGAAAATACCTTGCCCAACAGTGTATGGGCATTCTTATCCCAGAATTTAGCTTTGGCATTAGCTTTTTGGCTGAAGTCTGGTTTCTTAAAAGGTATAATGCTAGGTATTTGACATTTGAAATCTGCTGCTTATTGACTAATGTTATTACTCAAGTTTGAGACACATATATTTGCACTTGTGAATTATCTAACATGCTAACATGCTTTATTAATCTGGCACAGAAATAGATTTGACAGGCTGTTAACCCCACATTGCCTCCAGTACCCGAGATGCTGCCTGCATGCCTAAATCCTTGTGCCAACAGAGATTTGATCTGATGGAGAATTCACTTAGCTGTGTCATACTGCTACAGCAGTTCTGCTTCATGTGTCATTGTGGTTCTGGGCTATAAGCCTGGATTTATGCTGTCTTTTCAGAAGGTGAGTATGTAAGGACCTACTTGAATTTAACCATTAAATTGTGCAGGTCTAGCAGCAAGGGTACAAACTATGTTCAGTAAGGGAAATGTCTGTTTTGTAAGAATGGGAAAGACAATTCTATGGTATCAGAAAAAGTGCAGTTTTTGGCAAAGATGAATAAGGTGCCTGATCCACTAAAATAAGATGTAAACCAAGTCTGACAGATTCTGGTGCACCCGTGCACAATCAGTCACAACTCCATGGACTCGGCTTCAGACTTTTGCTCCTTGTTTTGCCATTCACTACTGCTGGCAAGAGTCCAGCTCAACAATCTTTGCCGCTCCCCTTTGGGTAGTTTTAGATCGTTATCAGATCTCCCCTTATTTTCTTCTTTGCCAGGCAAACCAAGCCCAACTTCTTCAACATCTCTTCACAAGTCATGTGCCGTAAGCCATTTACCATCTTATCAGCCCTCTGCACATCCCTCTCCTGTTTCTTGAAATCCTTCTTGAACTGGGGAGCCCTGAACGGGACATATTATCCCAGGTGTGGACTCATTAGCACTAAATAAAGAGGGATAATAATTTCTATTCATCTGCTGCCCATGCTCCCTTCCGAATGTAGCTCAGTGTATGGTTCACTTTCTTCGCAATGAAAACACCCTGTTGGCTCCTGTCCAACCGAGTGTCCGCTGTGACAGCCACATGCTTTTCAGCTGCTGCTGCCCTGAGCCTGCACTGGTGCCTGGCACTGTCCAACCCCATCTGTACACTCTGCACTCCTTGTTAAACTTCATGAGGTTTCTGTTGACCCGGGTTTTAAGTTTCTCAAAGGCCTCTCAACTGAACCTCCGCTGTTTGTTTTGAAAACCACCCCTTCTAAGTTAGTATTGTCTGAAAATCTGCTGCAAGTGCATCCTGTATCCAAGTTACTGGCACCAGTATTGACTCCAGACTGTTTTGTTTGTACTGGTCACCAACTAAACATCAACCCATTGATTCCTACTCTTCAATTGCCCAGCAATCCATCCAGTTTTATCCATCTAGCAGTACATTCATCCAGACCATACTCTTCAGCTTTTTCCTCACCCTGGGCTACAACCACTTGCTTAATTCCCATTGCTCACAAGGGCAGCTGTGCTGGAGAGCTTACAGACCATTCAGCCCTCTGCAAATGTGTATTGATGAACATATAAAGTGCTATTTAACTTCCCAGCATTTTTCCTCTACTTCTGCTGCAGTGCTGATTATTCTCCTCCCTAAAGTTCTCATTGTCACCACCCTGCTTCCTATGACATGGTGGTGCTGCAGTGATTGATGAGGGAGTACAGGTTTGAAATAAAGCCTGGTTGCTGCAGCATCAAGACACAGAACAGAAAAAACATCCTCCTCCCACTTTTGTTCAATCACTGAACTTTTAACCAGTGCAAAGAAGCATCAAATAATCTGGTCAATTCTTTCTTTTACAATTATTGCTAAAAGGAAAGATAATTTATGGTATTTATAGATTTTGCCTCCTCTTTTTTCCAGAGGCCTCTTTGGGTTACTGAAGAATTCTGTGTATTTGCAAGGGCATGTTACATTGGTCCTGGAGTAAAAAGGAAAACAAGCCAAACTTAATGCTGTAATTTGCCATAGAGACTGCACAGAAGTACAGCTTTCTTATGACACCCTAAAAGCTTGTGTGTTCTCTTCATTTTGTTAACTCCAGACTGACAAACAGAAATAATGCATATTTTCTTGTTTTCTCACTGCCTGTCTGAGGAGAATCCTTGGTATCTTTGGTGGATTCACCACAAACAACATTCTCAAACAATACCCCAAGCAAGTACGAACATTTTCAGCAACTCCCCCGCCTACTCCCATGATAGCTGCAGTCTTACTCAAATGGGAAAGAATGAACTAATTTGCTATCTTCAAGTTCACCAAAGACTGAGGATAGACCATGAGAATGGATTTCAAAAACAGAAGAAAAAGCAACATTTTTATCATTGCTGCCATGGAGAATTCCTTTTGGAGAATAACTACTTGTCTTTTCTCTTTCTGCTCTCCACAGCTGCATTATAGCAGCTACAGATATGGAGGGACTAAGAAAGTCCTGTCCAATTTTCTTAGATCCTTCAGGGGGACACTGCAGAATCATAGAATGGTTTGTGTTGGAAGGGACCAACAGATCACGTAGTTTCAAACCTGCTATGGTTAGGAACACCTTCCACCAAAGCAGGTTCCTCAAAGTCCCATTCAGCCTAGTCTTGAACACTTCTAGGGATGGGGCAGCCACAGCTTCTTTGGGCAACCTGTGCCAGTGTCTCACCACGCTCCCAGTGAAGAATTTCTTCATAATATCTAATCTAAAGCTA